TAAATATAAAATTTTCATACGATAATATCATATAAAATTTTGACACGAAAACATTTATATGCGTAAAACTATTCAAGGTAAGGTGCAATTGATTTGCTAACAAAAAATGATTAGGTATGCACCACTAGGGTTAGCCTAAAGGTGTGGGGTGTGTGTGTTAGGAGTGTGTGTAGTGTAGGGTGTTGTGTTCAATTCCTTGTAACCTCCAAAAAAAAAAATGATTAGGTATGATAGAATTCTTTGTTCTATATTCGATTTTAAAAAGAATTACATGACACAATGAAATGAAATAAGGAACGAATCACACAATAAAAATAAAAATAGTCATCTCCCATTGAACCAGGGAAAAACTTTTTGTCACCCAATACAAACTATCAAAAATAAAAAATATTTCCGACCACCATCATGCCAACCAATAAGCATATCTTTGGGCTCGTTATAAAATTTTCTCACTTGCCCTTGATCCCAAGTTGCTGATGGCTTCGAAATTGCGAAGTACTCAGCTTGGTTGTGGAGGACGTGACAAAGTGGCCCAATCCTAGTGAGGACATACCTTATTAATTATTTCTCATGTAATTTTGTTTTCTTATAGAGATAGAGAGGGAAATAGAGGGAATGAGATGCGAGCCTTCGTAAGGACACATTATGTTGAATTGGTCGGTACACAAATTTCCTCCATAATTTTTTTGCTCCTTTTGGGTTTGTCACCACTCTGAATGTGCAAACTACAAAATACATGTCTTCATACTTGTTGGAGGTTATGAGTATAAGATAGAAGGATTTAAATTAGTACATTAAGGGGCGTTTGGTAGAGGATATATATTTTTTTACTAGGAAAAAAAAATTCTAGAAATATGGTGCGAATTTTTTTTCTCAAATGTAAGTTACGGAAAGGTGTTTGATAGGTCCAAATTTTTTTCGGGAATGTTTGGTTAATTATACTAATGCTATGAGAAAATAAAAATACCATGTATCAGATAGTATTTTCATTTGGGAATATGATGTGTAAAATGGAATGATGGGAAAAAAAGTTTCCTGAGATTATTTTCAGTTTCCTCATATCAAACGTTGGAAACAAAATTGCCCCACCCCACTTTCCCAAGATTTCTAGGAAAATCCCCTTACCAAACAACCCTTAAGAGACATCAAGTTTGGAATGCTCAATAGTATTATCTCCAGCTTAGGAAATTCTATAGATAATGCAAGCTGTTGGACTCCAGCCTATATGGGCTCAAATAACTATGCTTTCACCTATTGGGCTTGTACGTGAACATATTACCAGGTTGTATTATTAATATATCGAATAATTTCCTCCTATATTTACCATACAACACAATCCAATAAAGTGATCAGTGTAATGTTCAAACAAATATGAATCATTTTCATCCAGTCCAAGAGATTCAAATTGGATCAGTCAAAGAGTTTTAACAGTAAGATATTAAACTCAATCATCATTTGCAATCTAAATAAATAAACAATCATTATTATGAATTTGTTTTAAGATTAACATACAAAAATAAATATCTAGAGTTTTAGATTCAATCTAAACTCATCCAAATCCCAAAATCTGAAATAAGTCTCAAAATCAATTTATAATCAACAATGTTCATAAAATAAAGATAGCAAAATGTAAATCTCAAATAAATGGACTCCGTCAAAATAGGTAGTAGCGGGTGAACTGTCAAGTTCTCACACACTCTAAATAATATATTCATTCATCGAGAAGGTGATCTTGGTCAAGATCCCTCTCATTAAGCTCTCCTGTATCTCTAGCATCTGCGGTGGAATATCAAATATGAATTTCATATTATCATGAATTCAATTAGTTGAATAATCTATCAAAGATGTCTAGTTCTACTAAAAGAACTTAGTATCATATTATCAGGTAAAGAAGAACATATATTAATGTCATAAAGCATCATAATATCATGTTCATAAGCATATGAATTTGAAGATACTGCATCCACAACTTTTCGTTCCAAATCCCAAAAATTTGAGACCGAAAATGAAAGAAATTCTGTTGAAAACTCTTATGATTATTTTCGACGAAAAATGAATGAAATTCTGTCGAAAACTCTTATAATGATTTTCGACGAAAAATCGATTAATTTCCATCATAAACTATTGTCTCAATTTTTGACGAAATCCCTGATTTGTCAAAAAAAATTGATTTTTTTTTAAATTTCTTTCTACAAAATTAAACAATGCAATGAAATTATAGTCCAACATGAGCTAAAAAACCAAATTAAAGACTTAGTCAGTAATGCTGCAAAGATATTCCGTAAAGCAACCGACCAATCAAAAAGATATGTCAGTCATGCCGCCACGCTAAGGTGGTATGTTGAGCCAATAAGCATGTCATGTCATATGTTATTGTTGAGATATATAAAACCATTAATGTAACCTCACCCAACAGCTTAAGCTTTTGGGTTGAATTGGTTCTTTACATGGTATCAGAGCGTTCGAAATCTCACCGCCTCCCACTTTCTTTGTAGTGGAATTTCCACATGTAGGTGGGCTTGTATGTTGTCCACCCTTCAAGCCCAATGGGCTCTCGTGTGAGGGGCGTGTTGAGATATATAGTCCCACATTGGTTGTATGAGCAACTAATGTGGAGTTTATAAGGCCTTGGACACTCCCACCTTTTGAGCTAGCTTTTGGGGTGGTGACCTCAAGGTTCTTAACATGTTGAGATATATAGTCCCACATTGGTTGTATGAGCAACTAATGTGGAGTTTATAAGGCCTTGGACACTCCCACCCTTTGAGCTAGCTTTTGGGGTGGTGACCTCAAGGTTCTTAACATGGTATCAGAGCCTTCGAAATCTCACTGCCTCCCACTTTCTTCGTAGTGGAATTTCCACATGTAGGTGGGCTTGTATGTTGTCCACCCTTCAAGCCCAGTGGGCTCTCGTGTGAGGGGGCGTGTTGAGAAATATAGTCCCACATTGGTTGTATGGGCAACTAATGTGAGGTTTATAAGGTCTTGGGCACTCCCACCCTTTGAGCTAGCTTTTGGGGTGGTGTATCCCAAGGTTCTTTACATGGTATCAGAGCGATTCTCATGACCCCCCACTTTCAAGTGAAATAAAAAAAAAAGCACAAAAAGGTAAACCAAAAAATTGGGTCTGTGCAGTTCCACGCTTCTAGCCCAAAGGGCTCTTGCGTTAGGGGGCGTGTTGAGATATATAGTCCCACATTGATTGTGTGGACAACTAATGTGGCCTTTATAAGGCCTTGGGCACTCCCACCCTTTGAGCTAGCTTTTGGGGTGGTGTATCCCAAGGTTCTTTACATGGTATCAGAGCCTCGCCGCCCCCCTCTTTCTCTTGTGGAGTTTCTTAGCACAGGTAGGCTGGGCCTGTTGCATTATCCACTCTTCAAGCCCAAAAGGCTCTTGTGTGAGGAGGCGTGTTGAGATATATAAAACCATTAATGTAACCTCACCCAACAGCTTAAGCTTTTGGGTTGAATTGGTTCTTTACAGTTATAAATAGAGAGTTCAAGACCCATGTACGTTCATCTTTTTAATATTTTAGCGACAGTGACCAAAATGTCACGCTTTGACAAAAAAATTATCAGAATGCCACGCGAACAGTAAAATTTCCTAAATTGCCACGCGGCATAATTCGCTACACAGTGTAGCGAAATATGCTACATCAGAATGCACAGAACCAAAAAGTGTCATGTGTCAAAATTGTTGAAATTCGCTACATAGGGTAGCGAATTTCAACAATTTTGACACATGACACTTTTTAGTTCTGACGTGGCATATTTTGCTACGCTGTGTAGCGAATTACTTGCATGCATAATTCACTACACTGTGTAGCGAATTATGCCGCGTGGCAGTTTGGCAAAATTTACTGTTGACGTGACAGTCTGGTAATTTTTTTGTCCAAACGTGACAAAATGGTCACTGTCCCAATATTTTAAGCTCATTAATAGAATACAACTTAAATGTCGAAGTAGGCAAGTGTTAGGCAGGTCCAATAGGAACCCGTGGTAGATGACCATTATCAATGAGCTAAGTTAGACCAATCATACTAAGTAAGTCCGACACCACATTATAACTCAAACTTTTAAGGCATTGGATTCATGGATCCTTCCACTTATATACTCTTCACTTAGTTCATTACCAACCAATATAAGACTCACCGTACTTGAATATGCAACACCAAATACATATACGGCTATACCATCCTGATCGATCTAGTCAAAACACAACTACGGCATTGAAAACCTCATCCCACATATATCTTCCTGCACAACAAAGCAAAGATCCTGTTGTTTCCCATTCCATCAAAACACTGGGTTCTGCATGGACCCCGTGTAAGAAGGTCGTTTTGGAAATGCTTTCCCTCATTTTCACCCAAGATTCTCAAAAGGATAGAAAATTGACATTATAAAATATATTTTATGAAAATTGCAAGTTTTGCCACTGTATTGTTTTATTCCCTGAATAATTCAAAGTCGGCACTAATTAACTTGGCACACCGTTATACATGGCAGTTGCCACTTGCCAGTAATCCCTAGAGCAAAACTGTGCTTAGTTTTTACTTTTTACTTATTTATTCTTTGGTGTGTGTGTGTGTGTCTATATAGTACACACACACACACACACATGGACATGGAGCGCCTTACAGCATCATCAAAGGTTTAAGCACTTGAGACCCTCAAGAAGGTCAAGGAGCAGTTAGGAGTATTTTCGTAATAATGATTACAAGATCATTTGATAAGAAGACCAAGAAGCAGAAGTGGATGACTACAATATCTCTTCCGTCTTTTTGTGTGTGTTTTAGCTAGGGGCTACAATCTCTTATTTGGTGTTAAGGAAAATGATACTCTCTTATTTGATGTTAAGAGACACCAGTTATTCACTAATTGCGAAGTTATTGAAAGCAATAATAATTCAAGTAAAGAAAATCCGTCATAAACAACATAATGAAACAGTAATATGTTCAAATGAAGCTAATGTTTTGAAAATAAGCATGATCCATTTAGAAAGACACATTTACTAATCAAGTGGACTCTCAGTACATTCTTGCCTGTGTTCTTCAAAGGCATGTTTTTGTAGCATTGGTTAATGTTTGCTTTTAACTAAGAAGCAAACGCCAGCATAAATGGTAGTGTAATTAGACAAAAAGTGGGGAAAAGGGGTAACTCAGAAATGGTAGAATCAAATTTATATTGCGTACACTGTCTTATACTCATTCTCTGAACCTGACATCATTGACATAGATAATGACTGCCTACTGCTCATAGTTGATCTAAGACTTCTCAATCTGGAGGCCTCAATGCGGTGTGCAATCACCCAATAACAAAGAGTTCCAAGAGTAGCTGCCATAATCACTGTTCCTATAACTGTGGCTGCTATAGCCAACCCTTTCTGATCCCCAACAACTATGTATGACATTGCAAGGAATGCCACAGAAATAAGCACACAGGCTATCCACATCAACTTATTTATAACCGCCATCATTTGTTTCTTTGCTTTCCTCTCAATAACAATCACTGATGTTTGGACAACCACAACAGCCAATGATATGAAGAGGGCAGTTGAATCAAAGATTATGAATATCATGAATCCAATATTGGGAGCAATATTTGCTTCACCAGGAGACATTCCAGGAGCGAGTTCTTCTGGATTCTGAGGATACTGGCCTGGGACAGTGAATATGGCAGCAAAAGCAACTGTTGCAATAAGGACAGCAACAACAGTGTTGGAGGTGATTGCATTGTTAAGCCCCTCAGCATGCATTTTGTTTATTCGCTTTGCTATGCCTTGCATACGTCTTTGTGTTTTAAATGTGTTTTCCAGTTGGTTATGAACCCCACTTTTTATGTCACTCACTGTTCGTTTGAGTTCAAGGGCCGTGTTTGTAGTAGGTGACTTGATGGACTTCGCACTTTGAGCTCCATGAACTTGCAGAAAGCTGGCAATGTCCAAGTGACCATTTTTCTCTGCAGTGTCCAGAGCAGTTTCTCCAGATTTATTAATAACATTTGCGTCTATTTCTTTGCAATGTAGTAGCTTCTGGACAATCTGCAAGATTACCACAAGAATACTAAGAGAAGTTTGCTTAATATGGTTGCAGGACAAGTATTATTACATTTACACCACCCATTTACCACATGACAACAATAATGGTCACATTTACGACTCTAATGACATACGGTGCATAGCCACCACAAGTACTGAATAAATAAATTGAAAGTTCATTTCTCTTCTATCAAACAAGACACAACACATACACAGACATAATTTTTTCCAGATATTCTTCACTTGAAATTTTAATGACTAAAAAGTTCTTGCAAAAATAAGCTAGTTGTTAATCAATCTTAGTAAAAGCAGACCTCTTCTGAAGTATCACAGAAACGTAGTATTCTTGAGCTAATAAGGAAATTTAGTTTATGTTGTTCAAGGTCTTGGAAGATGAAGAACTATAGAGTCTAATGTCTAGAAGAAAACCACATGTTCAGTAACTTCTCAAGAAAGAGCAAAAAGGAAAGCAGTTTTTTTTTTTTTTTTTTCCCTTTTACCTGTAGTCGACCCTTCCGGGTTGCTATATGCAGCGCAGTGTTTCCTTTGGCATCCACCATATTAGCCAAAGATGGATTCAACTTCACAAGTTCATCCACTAACTCAAGATTTTGTCCTTTAACTGCCATATGGAGTGCTGTCTGCCCCTTCTTATCAATTCTCGTTGCAATTTCAGGTTCTCTGCTCAGAAGGGCCTTGACCACTTCCACGTGGCCATTTCTTGCAGCAGAATGCAACACAGTTTTCCCATTGCTTTTAGCAATAGTTACCAGGTTGTTACCATTTTCTAAGAGAAAATTTACTACCTGAATATGTCCTTGTGCGGCAGCAGTGTGCAATGCAGTAGTGTTTGACAGATCAACAGTCATTGAAATTTCAGGAATGGCCTCCATGAGGAGCTTCAATATCCCTGCAAACCAGTAAAAGAGAAAAGGGCTCAGACGAATTCCAAAGTTTAAATTGATTATAAATTTATAATTGTGATGATCAATAAAGCAAGAGTCAAGGGAAACCTAGAAAGCTAGCAGACATAAAGATTCTAGCAAATTTGAAAACAAGAACTCAAATCATTATGGTTTGGCATCAATTCAATAAATAATCAATTTTCTTGACAAATTGAGCAAAGAGTTGTCGTAAGATTGATGAAGATTGAGCTATTAGTTATGTTATTTATTTAGGGTTAAACTTGAGTTGGGAGAAGAGGAGTACTCTAGGTTTATCAGCAGAGCGATCTGCCAAGAAGAGTACTCTTGGATTATCCTACAATAAAGATGTTGCATACCATACATCAAAATGAAGTTAAATCAGTGTAAATGCTCAAATGGGTTTAGCAAACACCCTAACCATATGGTAGAGCAGTGTTATATGAACCAAGATACAATATGTAGTAAGGATCCTACGCAATGTAGACACTAAAGAGACTTACCCAAGTTTCCATTTTTAGCAGCTATGTGGAATGCATCGAATCCATTTCTAGCTTTGAAACTGGCCAATCCAATATCGTGGCACGTGATCAATTCCTTGACTATATCAAGATGACCATTTTCAGCAGCAACATATAAGGGAGTTTCACCAGAGTTGTTTTTCTTTGAAAACAACTCCTTTAACTCTTCATCTGGATTCTCAGAGATGATTTCCAGCACCAATTCTAAATTTCCTGCTCGGATTGCCGAGTGTAAGGGAGAATCACCCCTTATACCTGTCAATTGTTTCTTCATCTTCTTTGGAAGGTATCTTTACTACTTTGATAGAGCTCTTATCAAGTTCACATTCCCTCAAGACATATCCAGTTACAATTATCAATTGTCTCCCACAGTATCAATTCACTGAGCTCTATGGGCAAGGCAATTCAATATTGTACACTAGAGTAAGTACTTTAAGGTCCTGCTGATTTCTACACTTTCTTGTCTCTACAGCATTCACAGTTCAGCATCCAACCAAACTCCACTTGTTTTTGCTTTAAGCACCAATCTGACATAGTCACATAGGGGAAGGGGTAAGCACTATAAACCCAAAATTCATCCAAAACAACATTTTTTTTAGGAAAGGGGAAGGAAATATTGATTCAATAAATCTAAAAAATTATTATCCTTTCGAAAGAAAAAAGAAAAAAATTCCAATTTTCTCTCCAATGCAAAAATTTTATAATAAATGGGTAAGCAGAAGTGAAGAGAAAACCATCAACTAACCAAATTCATCAATAAGACACCATAGGTTGTGATTTCAGAGACGGGTGGTTTCTGTGCTCCTATTCCTATGATCTTGAAATTGAAGAAGAAAAAAGTACTACTAATAACAAGATAAATCCAATCAGGGGAGTTCCAGAAGCAACTGAAGAATGAAAGTAGCAGGAAGCAGAGGTGTGAAAAGGCAGAGTAGCAATCAAATCACCCTTGGCCCCCCCACTTCTCAGCAGAGAAAAAGCTAGCCCCTTTTCTGGAATCACTATAGTAACGGTTCCAAAAGAGAGAAAAACCAAGAGCTGAAGAAGAACAACAATAATGAATGGGTAAGTGTGGCAAACGCGGAGAACAAAATGAACGAGTTTGGTTTTGTTTGGTTTTCAAGCTTCGACTTTGCATACATTAAGAATGGTCCCATGCAAGGTGATGATGGTGATGCTTAATGGTTGACGCCCATTTTCCACTAAGAACAAGGTGACGTTTGCTTTTGTTGTTCCTTTGTGTCCTCACTGCTCAAGTTCCGTCTTACATTAATCATTTTTGAAGAACATGTTTCTCATTTTAAATCACATAAAGTTATGTTATTTTAAGATAAAGATAGACATAAAATAAATTTTTTTATTTAAATTTTAAATTAAAAAAAACCATCCACCTTCTTTTTCTTACGATTTTCATTTTCCGTGTCTATCTTTCTCTTAAAATGACATAACTTATGTCATTTAAAATAACAAACACCAAGTTCATTATTTTTATATATCATCTTTTTTGTGTGTGCATGTATTATTTACATTTATTTGTTCAAAAAAAAAAAGTATTGAAAATAGTTTTTTGTTATTTAAAATTTATATAAAAAGTAATATATTGAATGAACCACCGTGCCATATAAATCTGATTAAAATGATTGTAAATAGAGCATCTGTGCACAGAATGTCAAAATATATACATGTAGAAATTTATTATTTTAAAAATACAATATCTATTTATTAAGCAAAAATAATAATGAGAGAAGACTCCCTCCTTTCAACTTGCCTGAGGAAAACAATAATTTATATTTTCGTACAAGATAATGGGCCAGCCGCCCTTGAGTTGCACATTAAAAGATTCTATGATCTAGATGGTCATAAAATCCAAAAACATATCAATGGCATGCAACCAATCCTCAACAAAATTTGAATTTACAGTCTTAATTAAATGACCATATTAATATTAGTAGAGAGAGGATATTCTTACTACTAGAAAAATTTACTATTAGAAAAATTTATTACTAGAAAAATTTATTGCTAACTCATTACCTCCATAATCATCATTGGATTAATATTTTTTCTTTCTTCAAATTTTTTTTACCATTCTTTCTCTTTGATCCAATGGTAATTGTGGAGGTAGTGAATTGACAGTGAATATTTTTGATACTAAGAATATCCCCTAATCATCTATACTTCCAAAACAATATAATTTCTTTCAAAAAAAAAAAAAAGTTTACTCTTCGCTTTAATTGTGTATTTTGAAATTCAGATAAAAATTAATTTATATCAAAATTGAAAAGTCAGATACTGAATTTTAAAGTTAAACACGTCATGAGACACGGCACACAGGAAACAACGTTAAATGAGTACAACAGGACAATGAAATATTAAATGCATGTCAGCATGTGTTGATTAAAAAAGGGCTAATTGTTGACATTTTTAAATGGCTGCTTGAGAAAACAGAAGCAGTAGTATTTTTTTTCATGTCACAATATATAATTTATAAAGTTAAATAGGAAATTAAAGTATTTTATCCAAAAAAATTGTAATTTAGGGAATGAATTTTATTTCATTGATAAATTTTTGCATAAATTGTCATTAATTTAATCTAGATCTTTAAAAAACAACATAAACTAGTTCTCAAGAATAAAAAAAATAATAGTTTTGATAATAAAAGATAACTCTTACTCTTGAGAATGAAACAATCTACTGCTGTATTATTTTCTTTCTTAAAGACACACGACTTCATCTTTGTTTAACATTTTTGCTATGTTTTTGAAAAAGTGTTAAATTATTAATTACTTTAAAAAAAAATTATATTAAATTATTTTTTCGAATCTCAGTTTTATATATCAAATTAAAATATACTAACTTGAGAGTAACTTAAATATTTTTTTTGTCTATTCTTTCATTAATGTTGATTCTCATTCTGTTTTTTAACTTAAATCTATTTAATTTTTTAATTAAATATATGTATTTTTATAATGGGATTAGTATTATCCTTTTAAATGATATAAAATTGTATCATTTTAGTTAAACTGCTATGTTTTATAGTAAGAGAAACATAAATCATATTGGGAGAAAATTCGAGATTTTTTTAATTTAAATATTAAAAGAAAAACATTAATTTTAATTAAAATGATTGTCCTTTAAAAGAATAAATATTTTTTTTCTTATATCCTTTTATTTATCTTTTATTGTACTCATTTTTAGTTATGCATACACCTTTTATAATTTAATGTTTTTAATTTGTACTTTTAAAAGTTTACCTAAATTTATAATATTCATGCAATACACGTGATACTTATTGGTTAATCTTAATTTTATCAAATGTTTATAATTCAATGCAACCACAACTCCATCCTTATTTCTTGTTTACTTTGAAATGAAACCTACAAGACTTCCAAGTCCAAACATTATTATATTACAGTATAATCACATGGCATAAAATTAAACACAGACTAATAAAATAGAAACTTATTTCAGCATATGATGATATTAATTATTCCAGAATATGTAAAAACAACCTTATCTATGTAATTGTAGTATTTGAAACTTTGAAGTTTCAACTATGAAGTGCCAAAAACCAACGGACGAAAAAAAACAATAAAAAAGAGGTTTAAATAAAGGGTGCGCTTTTTGTCATGTGCCATGCACTTTTTTGCACACACAAATTAAGTGTGGGTCTCACGCTTAAAAAAAAAAAAGTCAGACCAAAATCAAGATACGACCAAAATTTGGATCCTTGTTGCAGGAGTAAATAGTGTCATCCTGCAACATGATTCTTATATTTTTCTTAAATAAAAGAAAAAGATTAATGCGAGACGCGGTTGACAGGTAGATATTTTATTATAAGGTCATCGCAAAGCCGGCACGTCGAGGGGTTTTTGGTCCTTTGCTTTGTGCTTCGTGCTTCGTGCTTTACGTGTAAACGGACACGCATATCGCTTTAGTTAAGTGTTTGTGACCACCACGACACTTCCACTTCCTCATTATGATGTTTAAGTTCATCAAAAACATAAAAACAAAAAATAAATAAACGTGTTGTTAAAGGTGTGTCCGATTTACATTTTCGGTTAAAATATGCTTATTAGAAATTAAAAATATTTTTAATTTTTAATATTTTACAATACAAACTTTAAGAATAATAAAAATATTATTTTTACATTTTTATGGATATTTAAAATAAGATGAAATAATAAATATAATTTTTTGAATTAATCATGAAAATATATCAACTTAAAATAAGATTAAAAAAATACACACCCAATTATCAATTGCGGTAGAATTAGCTCTTAAAATTTTAATGTGACACATTTCTAACAATTATTTATTTTAGAATTTATTAAGATGTATAAAATCAAAAACATAAAACGACCCAATGGGTAATGACTAATGTGCATTGAGTGCTTCTATAAGGTGATGCCCATCGGGAAATATCCGTTGACTAAATTTCATCCTCATGTTTTTACCAAACTTATATCTTTGGTCCACATATGAACACTGTGAATAGGTACACGCATATCAAGCATCTGTTTATCTTGTTAAATTATTTGCCGGAATAGTTATGGAAATAGGTACTTTATTAAATGATGAGAGGTCAGTTATTATATAAGAATTGAGTAAAAAAGATGAGCATATACTCTAATATTATTTTTGGGATGAATTTAAGATTTTAATTATGCATTCGTCCCGTATAAAATTGTCTCTCCTAAAAAATATTTGTGATTTATTAAAAAAAGTGTGTATTCTTTAATTTTTTATTTTGAAAGATAAAAGTCAAAATATAAAATAAAAACAACTCAAACATTATAGCCTTGTTTGAATATTATATTTTAAAAAAGCTTTTTGGTTTCAAAAAATAAAAAAATTTGTTTGATAAAATTTGTTTTATAAAAAAAATTTAAAAATTGTAATTTTTTGTTTGTTTTTAGAATCAATATTCTTTAAATTTGATTCTAAAATTAAAAAAATAGTTTCGATTTTTAATTTTTTTTATAAAATAATCCCTATCAAATAGATTTTTTTTTCTTCTGAAAATCAGAAACTGTTTTCGCAGACAGTATTCAAATATGGCACAAATTTTTGGGTGAGACAACGAACGACAGAATTTGCGATGAGTATGAGTGTATGACAGTAATTGTTGTGGGCTTTGGTTGAAGCTCTATATTTTTTGAAGGGCTAACGTTGCAAAAAATAAAAATGAACTATCTCATATTTTTCATATGAATGAACTATTCAAGCAAAATATTCGTAGTAAAAAAAACTTTAAATCATTCAATGTATAAATAAGTACGAGGAATTGATATCCAAAGATAAAAAGTTTAAAACCAAATTATAGATGTGTCACTGCCAACCCTAAAAATTAAAATTCATAACAACAATACATAAACAGCTAGTTTTGTCAACTTTAAAGTTCTTAAATTTATAAGTGTTTTGGACAAGTATAATGGGCCAAACTTATAAAAGACCTAGTCAACACGGCTCAAATAATGTGGCCCAGCTCCAGCAGCTAACCGTCATGGAGAAGCAACCCCAACCGCCAAGTCTCCTCAGCCTAATTGTACCCACTTGTTGGATCCATTTCCACGGGCCTCTATGTCTTCCTCAGACTGTGAATAGGGAAAGACCGAACCTCATGCGAACCACCTTGTACTCAATCTTCCATCTTATAAATATTTTAGTTCATCTATATTTTCATTATTATTTTTGTTTTCCTTGTAGATTTTTCAATTTGGTAATTTAGCTTTTAGTCTGGTTATTATCAGTTGACTTATAGATATTTTTTTTTTTTTTAATTTTTTAGTAAACTATGATTTAGTTTTTTATTTTTATTTTTAAAACTGCGAGGTTAATTAAATATGTCCAAGTTATTTAATTCGCATAATTGGTTTTAAGGGGTGTTTGTCGAGTTCAATTCAGAGGCATGCGCAAATTTTTTTTTCACAAATACAATAATATGACAACTGATGTAAGATGCAGGGTTTTAACGGGCCGAGTCGAGCCAAGCTTTGGTCTTAAAAAGCTAAGCTTGTGTTTAAATCTGTCAACCTGACCAAGCCTGTTACTTGTTATGAATATAATTTCAGCCTGTGACCTGTCTTATTTACAAAAAATACAAGTCTGATTTAGCTTGTTTAACAAAAATAAGACAGCAAAAATTTATCCAAACAAAATATACAATCAACAGCACTAGTAATTCCATAAATATTCATAAATTTAATGTATATCCAAATAGCATAATATAAAATAAAATCATTTAAAAACTCTGTTTAATTAATAAAATGAGATGAAATGGATTGAGGAGAGAGAGACCTATCACAAGTAGTATAAAAAATATAAAGTAAAAATAAAAATAAATATATTAGGTCAGCCCGAGAAGCTCTAAGGTCGAGCTTTTGAATTGGAGCCTGAGGCCTTTTTATTAAACGATCTTTTATACAAGTTCAGCCTTGTTCCAACAATCAATTTTAAACATGTAAGCTCATGCCTTCACGAGCCGAGCCAAAGACCCCTGACTCGTTTAGCACCCCACACGTAAACCAATCTTGTTAAGAGACAAGAGTAACTGACAAGTAACAAGAAATCAATTACTTTCATAGAATCCATCTTTAAGAGTCCTTTTCCATGTTTGTCATATAAAAAAGTAGTACACAGAGGCATCAAACTTACATTGAAGTCCGAAGTAACATCAAATGGCATAAATTGGATTAATTTCAGTATCAGATTCCGATATACGCCATGAGTATGTTCCGGTCCTTGAGATCTTCTCTTTCTTCCTCACTCTTCGTAAACGTTTGTATTTCACCACATAGTATGTCATGGTACCAAGAACACTACCCATTATAAGCGCCCCAACAACAGTAACAAGGATTGCAGCCCACTCGCTGTGCCGACCAAGTACTATATACGATGCTGCAATGAATGAAATAGAGGTGCAGACAGAAGCTAACCACATCATCTTATTGATCACCTCCACAACCCTTCGCTCAGACTTTGTCTCCCCTCTAACAACTGTGATTTGAACCACCACTACAGCCAATGAAGTAAAGAGCGCAGTAGCATTAGATAAGAAGAAGGCCTTGAAAGATGTAGTGTGTACCATCAAAGCCTTCCCACTATCATCATCCCCACCAGGAACTGTGAAAAGTGCTGCAAATGCAACTGTAGCAAATAGCACAGCAACTACCGTTACTGAGTTGGTAGCATTGTTGATTCCAGCTCTGTGCAGCTTGCGTAGCTCCTTGGCAATCCCACTCACATTCTTGTTTGTCTTTCGAGTTTGTTCGAGCTGAAAATAAACATCTTTCTTAATCTGTGTCATAGTTTTCCTCAGCTCATCCCTTGGCTGGTTGAGATCATTGGCTTTAACTGCACCATATCGAATCAGGGAATCTTTTATCTCCAAAATCTCTTCAGATATTGGAAGCCCTTCCGCAAGGTCCAGAGCTGTTTTGTGGTCTCTCGTCAGGGCGTTTACATTGGTATCATGAATGAGTAACAGCTCATTCACTATCTGCATGAATTTTTTCATGTCGTCAAAACTAATGCATTTTTTTTACATGTTTAAAACAGCACCTTTTGACCCATTTAGTGTGAGAAGAGGAAACATTTTGCTCTATTTATTCAAAATTCAAATATTTTATGAGAATAACGTAATAAGATGTGTGTGGAATGTGCATGTTCAAATCGCACATGAAGTGACATGTGATTTGTGCAAAAGTGAGTGAGCGCTTATCATGTGTCGTGCAATGCGCGACATATGACAAGTGTTCAATTTTACACAAGTCGGGTATCATTTCATATATGACTTGAATGTGCACATCTTTAATGCAAATATTATCTTGATAAAATATTTGAATTTTGATTCAATAGAGAAAATATTTTCTTTTTCCTTGTGGTGAAAGGCCTTAAAATAGGCATGACAAATATTCCTTAAAAAGACACTATATATCTCTTGTCTACAAACAATAGGAAATGTAGATATATAACTCCTCATGGTTTTACTATTTGTTTAAAGTTGAGCAATTGTGATACCTCTACCCTCTTCTTCCTGGTGGCTACATGCAATGCAGTGTTTCCAAACTTGTCAGGAAGCATGACAGTAGCAGCATCTGCAGCAAGAAGAAGCTTCACCACTGCACAATTAACCCCTTTGGCAGCCATATGCAATGCTGTCTGTCCTTTCTTATCAGTCCTTCGAGCAAGTTGCGGATCCTTCCCTAGCAATATCTTCACAACATCAACATGTCCTTGCCGTGCAGCAAAATGGAGTGCATTCTTCCCATTAGCTCTAGATATCTCCAATTGACTAGGATCACGTGACAGCAACAGTTCAACAACACCCGCATGCCCCCTTGTAGACGCAGATATAAGAGGAGTAGCATTCGACTGCGCAAACGTCTTTATTAGCTCTGGATCATGGTCTAGCAGCACCTGCACAATGCCTACCCCCAACAAATAACATATATATCGTATGTATTATAATAAACCGCATCAGACTTATATGGGAAATAAATTTCTCAAGTTGACTCTCGTTTCTTTCTCTCTTCTTCTTGACCAGTTCCACTTACTTTTTTATGTATGCATTCACTTGCTTACTTTAATATGTATGCATTGAAAGTCACTAGGATTGATCTAAGAGTAAAAAATTTGAATAATTTGTATTAAGTTATGCATTTAATTCTCGTTTATATAAAAAGAAAAACAAATATGTACGAGCTACACGAAAAATGTATTCATATTCCTCAACTCATATATCTATGAGAAATTATTATCTGATGTAATAGGAAAGAGTTATCTTATATTATAAATACATCGATGATAAGCTAGCTCTGGTGGGAGTGCTCAAGGCCTTATAAACTCCACATTAGTTGCACATACAACCAATGTGGGACTATATATCTCAACACGCCCCCTCACACGAGAGCCATTTGGGCTTGAAGCGTGGACAATGCAACAGGCCCAGCCTACCTGTGCTAAGAAACTCCACGAGAAAAAGCGGGAGGGGCGGCGAGGCTCTGATACCGTCTTGTAACAAGAAAACAGAACCCAGAACTGAACAAATCTTCTATTGATTCAAAATTAGCAAACTCGTACATCACGTTTTCCTAAGAGAAAGCAATACAGAAAAAATACTGAAGAAGGCATTTTATTTATTTATTTATTAACACATGGTAGGATCCACCACCACTATGTGATGAGTCTTGAGAGGAGTATCTCAGAGATTAAATGCTCCCTATATCTATTAATAAAATTATCTTCTATAACGTGTTAGCATGTACAGAAGATAATTTTATACTGAGAATCGTTGAACCTATTAGGTTTTATTTCTCATACATATTATTATAGTATACATACCTTGATGACCTTGGTTAGCAGCAATATGCAAGGGATCGAAACCGGAGCGGTTTTTGAGGGAAAGGGCCTCCTTGGTGGTGTAAGGGAGGAGTTCCTTGACGACATTAAGGTGGCCCTTCTCAGCGGCGGTGAAGAGGGCGGTTTCACCCAACTCGTTGACCTCGTTGAAAATGGCGGACCTTATATCGGAGACCTCGGCGTCAAACTCGGCGCCACTGAGGGTTCCCATCATTTGGGCGTCGATCTCTGAGAGGATTTGCCTGACGGAGGAGGCGTCGCCTCGCTGGGCGGCGAGGTGGAGCTCGGTGTCATTGTGGCGGCCGGTGACCTGCTTGACATATTTCTTCTTGGTGATGGAGTCGAGACGCTTGGCGGAATTGGAGAGGGCGAGGGATTTGTTGGAGTTGGAAACGAGGAGAGCCTTGCCGGAAGAGGAGAGGACCAAGGTGGGTCTTGGGGTGGTTGGTGTGGTGGGTTCCGACAGCGGGCTGTAGCCGTAATCCATGAATGCCCGTGCCAGGGGCAACTAGGTTGTTGGGATTGGGTACCCCATTGGAGAATCCTCAACAACACAACACCACACCCTCTGGTTTTGATCTGCACCATAAGCGGAAACTCCTTCACCAAAATCGTTGGTTTGTTTCTTTCTTCGCCCCTCCAATTCCCATAAACCTCTTTTATACTATTAAGAGTATTTTGTTTTTTTTTTCTTCCTGAAAATATCGTTATTATTTAATTCAACTTATTAAATGAAAAATGTAAATAAATACCTTTTATTTTAATTAAAATAACATTATTATTTAATAGATGAAGAAGTTTTCACTGTTCATGTTCGGCCATTATATGCACATGTCGCTTTTCTCATTGAGGTAACACGGCAGATTTACCCGAACAGTGATTATTTTATCATATTTCAGTAAATTATTTATTAGACTGATACGTCAACGGTAAAAATTCATAGAATGTCACGTGATATAATTCGTTACACTGTGCATCGAATTATTTTTGCAAATAATTTGCTACACAGTGTAGCGAATTATGCCATGTCAGGCTGCACAGTCAGCAAAAATGACATGTGTCAAGCAGACAGTAATTCGCTACATTGTGTAATGAATTATGCTTGTATTGCTGCTTGCTTGACACGTGTCATTTTTGCTGACTGAACAACCTGACATGGCATAATTCGTTATATTGTGTAGCGAATTATTTGTAAACATAATTCGCTGCACACTGTAGCGAATTATGCCGCGTGACATTCCGAGAATTTTTACGGTTGACGTGGCAGTCTGATAAATAACTTGGCCAGGCGTGACAAAATAGTCACTATTCCAAATTCCTCGTGCGTCAGCGATGATGGGAGTATATTTTCGGTACAAGGTTGTACTTCCTTACTAAAAAAAAAATTCGGACATGTAAAAAAATAATATAAATATGTTACTTTTTTTCATATTTAATAAAAATTATACCCAATGACCAGTATATAAAAGAATGTAAAAAAATAATATAAATATGTTACTTTTTTCATATTTAATAAAAATTATACCCAATGACCAGTATATAAAAGATGTACTGAGTGCTTGGTATATTTATAATACTGAAAATATTTCTAAATGATGGATGTATGAGAGGCATTTTTCACCTTTATTTTTTTATTTTTAATGGGATTCGACAGCGGCATCTTCGTGTTACATTTGCAGAAGTACATGCGGAATCGTATATAGCTGATGATGTGTTTGTTCAGTGTAATTACTCGAGGTCAATTTCAATAACTTGTTAATGATATACCAAATTCTCATTTGCTTTTATGAAGCAGGGCATAAGGTGGCATTCAACTACCAGGAAAGTTGTGTCTAGTTCTTATGTTTAGTGGCATAGTAATTTTTTTAGGTTGAATTAGAAACATTGATCTCATATTGTTCAATTAATGTGGTTGTTTCTAAGGATCTTATATTTGAGGATGAAGTGAAAAACTGGTTTTCCATATTGATCACTTCCTGATTTCTATTTGACTATTGGTTCCGTTTCACGCCAATAATTTGAAACTTGTTTTTTAGATGGCTTCATATGCAAATAATTCCCCTATTACATGCTATCTATGACTAGTAGTTTGTCGTTACAATAGGTTTTCTCATATCTTTTCTTTTCTATATTTGTTTATGACATAATTTTATGGAAAATGATGTTTGTTACTTTTTCTTATACCACTTTTACACCGTTTCCTTCTCTCTATTTTCATTAACAAAGCTATAGAGAAATGCATTCAAGGCACTCTTTTTATTTTTGAACAAGATTGTGTAAAGAAAAAAAAAATGTATAGAAATGGTGTGCAAATAGATTGTAATGATGATTATAGTTAAAAACCTGCCAGATCTGGACTTTCCTCTTTTAATTCAGCTTTCCCCTTGTTCTCTGGGGAGGAAGCAACTCTGAGCACAAAGTAAACTTAAACACCTTCATCTGATTTCATTTCAATAGAAAAAATCACTTCACAACCACATCAATATATATGTCATGTACTAATTCAACCCTGTCTTAAACCCACAGTTGTCTCCTAAACCAAAACACTTTCATCTGATTTCATTTCATTTACAACTTTGTGTGCTTTTTCAAGATTTGGCAGTCCTCTTTGAGCAATGATACACAATACAACAATTTGTAATGGGACACCAATTTGTTATGTGGAGCAAGGACCACAGCCAGAACAAGCCTGTGAGGATCATCACTACACCCACATAACTTTGGGCAAAGCAAGGGACATGTACGTCCGAAGCGGAAATTTCTAACATACTACCGCCGTATTCAATTTTTTGTACAACCGTCCAATAGAAATTAAACAAGTAAGCTCACATAGTAATATTTTAAAGAAAAAAACACTATTTAAGTGTATGTGTCTAATTCTGAGTGATGGTAGTACTAAGACCGACTTACGAAAGATGTTCTCGTCCGAAGCATAACAAAGTGTGGCCCAGCCCGTTTTATGTAATGGTGGAGTGGACATAAAATCTCTAACCTATTTGGGTTGTCTGACAGACTGACAAACTCTTAACTCTTGAAAATTGTCTTTTTTTTAATTATGAATATAATTAGTAAAGCTGAAAATAAAAGAAAACTAATGGATCCATGAACTGTTGCTTGTGCAATTATTTTTTAGTTGCAGGAAATATTATTCCATCCCTAGCTATATTTAATTTCAAGGATTGAAAATCTAAATTTAACATCTTAAGACCAAACAACTTTTTTAAAAAAAAATTGAAATAGAAAACTTTTGGGCTTGCAAATTGCCCCAGTTTCTTACAAGCCAACTCCACATCAAACCAACTAATTTTTAGACCAAATCGGGCCAGGCTACGTATATTTTTGGAATAAGATTTTCATAATTTATACGGATTAATTGGACCAATCCATTAGAATTGGCCAATTTTGACACCACTAATGATTTTAGCCCTTTAAAGTTTAAAGGGTGTTTAGCATCTATAGTAAATAAATGATATATAATATTTAAAATAAGGATAATATTTTTTTTATATTGCAGGAGAGAAATATTATCTCTTACACTCACATTTTTCAAATAGATCCCACAAAGAACTTTTTTTTCTCACCTCTAACTTTTTTCTCTTTCCTATTTATTGTTTGAGTAGAAGATAATATTTTTCTTATACAACATACGAAAAGTATTACCCTTAAAATAAACTACTTATATGATTATGATTTTTCATCAAAGCACATGAAAAATAAATTTAAAACGAGTACAAAATTAACTTCAAATGGGATTTAAATAACTCTAATAATAAAACAAAATTTGGCGGGCTAAACAGAGTTGGGTCAGATCCATTTTGTGAGCTCTATTTAAAAGTAAAAAATTAACTATAAATGAGATTCAATAACTTTTATAATAAAAATTGTTCGGTTCTATTAAACCGTATAATTATACCTCAAGGGTATGCGCTCAGAGATATCCTATGGATAGGTATCTTGTTGGCTTATAGCCAATATCCCCATCACTGCGCACAAGCAATAGGCTTATAGCCGAGACGTGGGTGTGTGCACAGTGTGGGCAAAAGTAGTAAATGAGTTCAGCGTGTATACCTGGGGTCTTTAACCTCTTATTTATAAGGGTTACCTCTTGGGCTTTTGTAGATCTCCCAGTTGTAGTAGGATTTAACTTCCTTTCTGTTGGGATAGAGACTCTATCTTTAGCTGTCTTACTGTTTTATATTGTTAGGATAATTGGAGAATTATCCTTTAAGGGATCCTTTGGTAGGTGGTTAGGATATGGAAATATTCCATAACAGTTGCCCCCCAGCCCGGCAGTTCGGAAGCTCGGACTGCTGGGGTGCCTAAGTTTGATTGATAGGTCGACCCTACCGAGGTGCTATGATCCTGCCTTGGGTCTGGTGTGACTACCTCTTCTGGGTTTAGCCTTTTATATTGGCTTCTCTTCTCTTGAAGTCTCTGAGTAGTGAGGCGGTGTTTGCCTTTTTTTGTTGACTTTGAGCTCGGCTTCTCTTGCCGAGGTTTTTTAGTTTTGACTAGGCTTATAGTCAGTCTTTTATATAGGCGTTCGCCTAAGTTTTAGGATGGCATTTCGTGCCTCCATAATAATTAACCCGACTTTGCACTTCCTGGCGTTAAGTGTCGTGATTCCAGATTTGGCTCAGTTTCGCATACCGAGATCTCTATTAGCATGAATTTGACCTTTGCAAAGGTTTAGGGAGCACGGATTTTCTTACTACAACTTCCCCCTTTTGGATTTGACTTGCTGCATATATCTTAATTTTGGGAAGGTCTTCTGTGCCTTCTTGAACAATTAGTCCGGCTTCGAATACCATGACTTCTCTTGTTTTTGACGGACTTGACTTCTTTTGCCATAGTCTTGGATTCTTGAAGGAGGAGTTCACCTCCTCGATTTTAAGCCCGAATACGTATACCGTGCTTTTATTTTGATTGACTTGGCTTTTGCCTTGTAGTCTTAAGTTACTAAGGCAGTTTTCTGCCGTATTCATTTTGAGCCCAGCTTCACATACCGTGGCTTTCTTTAAATTGACTTGGCTTTTGCCTTGTCTACACTTTTGAAGGCGGTATCTTTGCCTTTCTGATTTTAGCCCGGCTTAATGTACCGTGGCTTTACTGTTGGACTAGACTTTTTGCCATATTTTTTTTTTGAGCCTGGCTTCGCATACCGCGGCTTTCTACTTTAAGCAACACTTCATTAGCGATGGATTTTTAATTTGAGGCTAGCATGTTGGGCCGCGAACTTTGTCATTTAGCTTTGTTGCCAAAATCTTGAATAAGAGCTCGACATCATATGCCGCTTCGATTTTTCTTTTATCTCAAATTGGGGTGTGATCCTTTTATAGGATCACGATCTCTCCAAATTCGTCTTCTCGGATTGGGGTGTAATCTTTTTTGCTAGAATCACATCTCTCCAATTCCATCTTTCTTCTTATTATTTCGGATCGGGGTGTGATCCTTTTGCTAGGATCAAATCTCTCTAATTCCGTCTTCATTTTTATCACGGATTGGGGTGTGATCCTTTTGCTATGATCACATCTCTCCAATTTCGACTTCATTTTTATCTCAGATTGGGGTGTGATCCTTTTGCTATGATCACATCTCTCCTTTTCTGTCTTCAT